GTTTTTAAAAGGTAGACTGTAGAGTCCTGACAGATGTAATGTAAAAATTAAAAAGATTCTGGATTGTATTATGATTTTTATGGTATGAAGAATACTTGACCAGTTATAATACTGCTTAAGCCAAAGGGATATTACTCTTCTGGCTAAGATCTGGTTTGAATGGAAGATGCATGAAATGCAGCAATATGGTGATCTTTATGTATTTTTATACCTTTTACATTAGCGCAGTTCTTGATATTTAAGATTCTATTTCCTTAATTTTTTTTTTTACTTATGGTGACCCTTTTCAAAAATGCTTATGTCTTCATGATTTTTCCCTTCCTTTATTCGTATACGTATGCTTGTTCTGTTGACAGTAAGCTTGCCTGTTACATGATTCATTGACTAGTTTGTATTGCAATATCCTTTATTACACAGTCAAAAATGAGAACCCTGTGCAAACGGTGTTTAAGGGGAAAACAATCACTTCTACTACTGCTTCTTTGAGTATGTAGTAAAACTGAGTTTGTAACTACTACCTTCAACTCCAATATTTGAACAGCAGAGTTGTTTTGCAAAAGTGTGTGTTTTTCCTTTTAGGATAAACAGCTTTTTTTTCTTCCCCTGGCCTTTGGCAGGTTGTGTTCTGTTTTGTTGGCTTGTTTTTTGAGGGGGGGATTTGAGATTTTGCATCGTGTAATTAATTTTTTGTAGGACACTGCTGTAGTAATTGTTGCAATGACAAAATTTAGATACTGAAATGAAGTTAAAGACAGAGATGAAGTTGCTGGGAAAATAAAGTTTAAATGAAGGTTAGATAGCAGTTGACTGCATGTGTTAAGTCTTTATGCTCAAATATCACTGCACAAGACAAAGATTTTGCCAGAGAAGTCTTTGTGACCAGCCAGCAGATGATATGTAATATTTCCCTGGAAATGGAAGCTTGGCAGACTACTTCTTGGCAATGCATGATATGCTAATCAGATACAGACAGCTAAGAAGAAAATTTACAATAAGACTACGTATTTTCCAGTGGCAGGTAGTTGACTAGTCACAATGCTGCTATGCCTTACCTTCCTGTTCTCAATTTCTGTTTCTTTTCAATAATTTACTGCTAACAGCTCTTAGGAGACATACGGACTAAGGTATAGAAACTGTTTTCATTCTTCAGTAGTTTAATATTTTGCTATTAACATACTTGATACAAAGTAAATTAAAATGACAGAATATGTAGGATATGACCTGATTCTTATATTCTGTAACATATATAAAGCTATTAAGTGAAATAACTAACTTTCAATACAGTCTTTAAGTCACTCTATCATGCAATTTTATGGATTTTTACAAGTAAACCTTAAGTTGAATGTTTCATCAAACGTATGTCTTCTCTGCATTTGCTTTGCTTTTATATTTGGAATACAACGCAAGCCATACTTCTTTAAAATACTTTAATTAACTTGGTTTT